CAAAGTAACAGAGAACTAAGAGAATCGTGAATTAAAGGCTATGATTTATCAACTTCTTTACTCACGGTCAATTGAAGTTTGTTCAAATTTATTTGGTTTCTTGATACAGGGTCTCACAATGTAACCCAGGCTTGCCTGGAGCTTATTACAGAGACCAGGCTGGCCTGAACTCATGCTTAGTTCTCAAGACTTTTGTTTTAGCAAAGTAAGAAATAAACATACTGCCTACTCCCTTCTACACAGAGAAACCTCTCAACAGTTCATTCTGCCAGGTGCAGTGGCTCACATCTATTACCCCACCTGGGAGACTGAGGCAGAACTGCCTAGAGTTCCAAGTCAGCTTGGTTTCTTAGGAAACTAAACCCAAACAACAACCCCTCCTCCAAACCCAAAACCAAACACAACTGATCATTAAGTAATCTTAATCTATCTCCACTATGTACCTGAAGGAAGATATGAGTGCCTCACACACTGCATGCAGCACACGTGTGTATGTGCACTATTTATACATTACTTTCCATCTGTGCCACACAGATGCCATCCACAGGCATCATTTAGAATTGTTGTTCGAAACACATGGCCGACGTGGGAAATCCAACATGGCTAAACAAACAAGAGTGGTTCTAAAATCTACTGCTGACAAAATGGGGAAAGGCGGTAGGTCTGGGTATCAGAGTCTGCTATAGTTCCAGGAGCAGTGACGTGAACATTCCCAGCCACTGCAAATGCTTCCTTGCCTAGCGTTAGCTTTCTGTTGTTAATAAGAGGCTCAATTAGTAAACTGCTAAGGTGATTTCCAGCTCTATAACTAAGTCTGTAAATAAAAGCCAAGGCCTGCTTTTAAGAAATTTCATTAAGGGCAGGAGAGATGGCTCAGCGATTAAGGACACTGACTGTTCTTGCGGAAGACCTGGGTTCAAACCCCAGCACCCACACGGCAGCTAACAACTGTCTCTAACTCCAGCTCTAGGGAATCTGACTCCTGTCCTCTGCAGGCATTGCATGACACGGATGCACTTACTGACATGCAGGCATAACACTCATACACATAAAATAAAAATAGTATTTTAAAAAAAAGAAATTTCATTAAAAAAAAAGACAAGTTCTCTCTCAAAAAAAATTCAGATATACCTTCTTTTCGCTTGGAAAACCAGACATCTGTTTCTGTCAAAAGCTGCTTTAGAGATCCATTCCAGGAAGGCACTAGCTGAAGGAACATCCACTAGGTTAAAAAAAAGCAAGAAAAAAGTTATAAGGCTTCATAACTCTGAGTATATGTTCAAACAGTCCCATCTTTAAAGAGACTATTTTTTTTTTGAGGCAAGGTCTGGGTAGCCCATGTTGGCCTTGGACTTACTATGTAGCTGAGGATGGCCTTGAAACCCCTGCAGAATGCTGGGATTACAGGCATATGCCACCATGCCTGGTTTTCTAAGTGCTAGAAGTAGAACCTAGGGCTTTGTGCATGTTAGGCAAGCACTCTATCAACTAATTCCTAAAAAATTGTATTTTACAAGCAATTCAAAGGAGCCTACTACTAAAGCTTTAAATTCATCATGGCAGGAAATGGAGGTCCAGTGATTTAAAACTGGAAATATGCACCATAAAGCACACTAATCCCTGAAAAAAAGTAATGGTCACACCTCAGTGAATTAAACAGGCACAGCTTTAACCTAACTACTACATTAGTAACTACCAATTTATTCTACTCACTAAACACTACGTAAGATTGTAAAAGAAATTTAATATGGGAAAAGGACTCCCTTTGTCCCAGGGCTGTTGAGGCAGTGCACAGAGTAGTCAAGAGTTCAGACTTTCAATCCTCCACCTGTCACTCAGCAGCTAAACACATCACCCATTTCTCTAGGTTTTAATTTCTTCATTTGCAGATCACTGAAGGAACATGTGTGCACCATGTTTAACACAGTGCTGGCACTAAGCACCACACAAGCACCAGCATTTACCGACCAGTCCTGCATCACCGCAGCTGCACTGAGAGACGAGAGCAACGGCAGCTCACAGAGATTCGGACACGTCTCCACCCTCTTCTTAGAAAGTTCAACAGTCAGACGCTAAGCTTCCTTGAAAAAACTAGCAATGGCGCCTCATCTCTACCACAGAAACACTATCCAAAGACTACACCGCAGCTTCACAACTGCCTCAAGGGCAGATGGGACTCCACAGACACAGACGACGCACAGTGTGGTGAGAGCAGTGGCTTCGCTCAAGTCTGCTCTAATAGATTCTAAGCCTCGCCCACATGCAAAGTGTAACAATTGGTATTTTTTTGAACTATGAAATAAAATTAGACCTAAAATCCATCAAAAGTATGAAATAAAGCCAGACTTGGTAGTTTTAGGAAATGGGAGGCTGAGGCAGATGAACTGCTTCAAGCTTTGAGGTAAATCTGGGCTACATAATATCTTCCAAGACAGTGTGGGCTACAGAGTGAGGCCCCACCTCAAGAAAAATAGTCACGAATCCCTAAATCTAAATATGTACGGCTCTGGCATATGGCCGCTGGCTTGAGATAGTTTGGGAAACTGACGTAGGTTGTTCAACTTCACAATGGTGCAGAAGTGTGCCATGGACCACACTGCTTTACTTCAGGATGGCACAACAAATTACAGAAGATGCACAACACTTAATGATATAACAGGACTGGCTTAGGTGATGTGGCCAACTGCAGGCTAAGTATCCGTTCTGAGCATGTTCCAGAAGGGTGTGGCTCAGCAGGGTGCTCAGGAAATCAGGTAGAATAAATGCTTTCTTGACAGCTATATTTCAGTTGATGATGTGTTTACTGAGCAAAACCCCAGTGATCCAAGCAGCTGTGTAGTTCCTCCACTGTCTCTAACACTCAGAAGGACTGCTACCAGATTTTCATCATGGTAAGCAACCTTAAGTAATATACCTGCACATATACGTCGGTACCTTTCAAGAGTTGTATATAACATCCATCTCCACCTGCATCACAAATAAGTTAGATGAACCAATGAACTGTTTCATGATGCTTATACTGGAAAAGATAAAGCACAGGAGTGAGCTTTTCTTCACGTAGCTGAAGGACTCTTGTAAGCTATAAACTTCTAAAAAAATTTAGTATCTGTGTGTGATGTATGTGTGTGAATACAGACACACATGTGCCCCAGTACACATGCAGAGGTCAGAGGACAACTACTGTGAGTTAGTTCTCTCCTTCTACCCATGGTTCTGGAGATGGAACTCAGGTCATCAGGCTTGTGCTGCTGAGCCATCCCACCTGCCCTAAAACCTTTAATTCTCTGTCAAATGAAAACATGGAGATAAAAAAGGCAGCAGTCTATTTGAACATGACAAAGCACCTCAGTTAACAATCCATCTGAACACAATGCTTCTCATTGTGACACCAGGCTGGAAAGGGACAGCACACAGAGCCCTGATCCCCTTGCTGTAGGTGAAATGGGATGACTTGCTGACTTGGTCAAACCAGCAGGCCCCTCTGCCTTCCTACCCACATTTCTATGTACAAATGAAAAACAAGAATAACATTGCTTAGAATTCACTAAAATAGCTGGATCTTCAAGATCCCAACCCCATCCCTGCAGGACACAGCTATATAGAACAGCCTGTCCCCAAACTTGCTATCCATCTTGTATCAGCCTTGCAAGTGCCGAGATTAGAGATGGGCCACTATATTTGATTAAATGGATCTTTAGTATCCAGGTTTAAGTATTTATTATTTTTATTTTATGTGTATGAGTGTATTGTCTGCATGAGTCATCCCCCCAGGCCCAATATCCAGATTTAAAAGAACTGCAGTCAGAAAATATGTTTTCATTAGAGGAAAATGAAAAAATGCAGGCTAATTTGGAGTAGAGATGGTTATCACTGGCCATGGGCTCTTATTTCCCCGTTTTCTGCTTTCCTAGATTTTAAAGACGATCCCACTATGACCTGCTTTCTTCCTTCAGAAGTGCAACGGGAACTCTAACCTGTCCCCCTGCTGGAAGCTGTGAAATGCCTCCATCAAGACACTGCACGCTCACAACACTCGTGCCCCATATCCTTCACAAGTTTTTTGGGGGTCTGGAGAGATGTCTCAGTGGTTAAGTGCAGAGGACCCAGGTTCAGTTGCCAGCACCCATATGGTGGCTAACAAGCATCCGTAAGTCTGGTTCCAGAGAAAAGGGCACCGTCTTCTGTTCTCCATGGGCATCGTACAGACATGGTGCACTTACACATAACACTCAAACACATAAAATAAAAATAAATTTTTAAAAATTTAAAAAAGTTTGTTTCCATCCAGAATTTGTAGACCCATCATGGTATCTTGGTCTCACTGCTGCAGATAAGCTCAGGTAGTATAAAATACCACAGACATCTCTGAATCCTTCACTGCAGGGCCCTGAAAGATATATCTTTGATGCAAGGGACATTCAGGAAGGACGGAAGGAAAGAAGGAAGGAAGGAGAGCAGGAAGGGGAGGGGAAGGAGAGAGGAGAGGGGAGGGGAGGAGAGGGAAGGGAAGGGGTGAGGGAGCTAATGTTAAAGTAAGGAGATGCAGCTTCAAAAGGCCAACCGAACTGAATTTAATTTCATCAGCTGGTAAACATTTTTAAAAATTTCATTTATTTTATTTTGCGAGGATGTGTTTGAGTGCAGGTACATGCAGTATCAATGCATATGTCAAAGTGAATGGACAATTCTTAAAAACTGGGTCTCTGAGGACAGAACTCAGGTCATTGACACACCTGCAAGCAAGTGCCTCTACCTGGCTGAGATCTACTGGACTGTAAAAACTGTAAAACATGTTGGGTGTGGTGGTGAGCATGCTTTTAGGCAGGCGGATCTCTAAGTCCAAGGCCAGCCTAGTTTACATAATGAGTTCCTGGTCAGCTGGGGCTACAGGAAGACCCTGTTTCAAAGAGACCAAAAAAAAACAAACCCAAAACCAAAACAAGACAACAAAACCCCAAAACCAAAACAAGACAACAAAACCCCAAACCCAACAACAACAAAAATTCTCTAACGTCTCTATGACAATAATTTTCAAGCTATCACTTTTAGATGCTCCAGGAACCTGGCAGAAGTGAGAAGCACTTTACACTTGGAACAGTCTTACAGCATCAGTGTACTCTGTTAAACTGTTGGAACAACAGACATCAATTTGATCACTGACAACAGAGAAGCAGGTGCAGCATGTATTTGAGTCATGAACGTAGTCAAGGTACCTCTTATTAAATTGCGTGCATGTGTGCATGTGTGTGTGTATTCTACAAAAGTATCTTGAACATTTGAACAAAAGAAAAACATTATTTTAAGACAATTAACTGTAAAGTTACTTAGACTCCAAATACCTGAGTTCTTTGAAAAGCTCAACATTCTGGTGAGTCATCAAGTTGTTTAGCAGCCACTCTAGGCACCTGAAATTAAAGTGTGATTATTTCGTATATATTAGGTATTTACAGCTTATTGAGTAGGTCTTATAGTTAAAATGAAAACAGTGTTAATTGCGCTAGGCCATGCTCAAGGTTTTACCTTAATTTAACATCTGTGCTGCCTACTCCCTAAATAGTGACCACGGGAGCTGGAGAGATGACTCAGTGGTTAAGAGTACCGGCTCCTCTTGCAGAGGACCCAGGTTCAATTCCCAGCATCCACATGGGGGCTAACAATCATTTGCAACTCCAGTTTCAGGCGAATCACTTACACACATGCAGGCAATACACTCATACACATAAAATAAAATTTAAAAAATAGTGACCACAGTTTGATAAGGATATTTCACCCACCTGTGATCACTGACCAGGCCAACGCTTCAGAGGAATTTATTAATTAGTTCAAAAGAAAAAAGGGCTATTACTTTATCTTCCCTCATAATTGTTTCTTACTACATTCTCTTAAGAAATCAAAGCAACCAAATTCCAGAAGTAGGATTGAAGAAAAACAGAAAAGCAACTCACTTTTTCATTACAGAATCTAATCTATAGGTCCCTGATGATGTGTAATAGCCACACACAGTTTTCACATTCATTGTTTCCTTCACTGTCTCACCACACTGTTGGATTAAACCATCCTGTAAATATAAATAAGCACTGGAAAGGCCCGTTTCTTGTGGGAAAATTAGCTCTCCCCTGTGCCTCCACATATTAAAAGGTAATAAAAAAATGGAAGGAAGGAAGGAAGGAAGGAAGGAAGTCATTAAGTGCAGCAAACCTACTTTTTTTTCTAAGTTCAACAAAAATACTGAAAAGAAAACCATTCAGCAAGTATCTACTACACACACGGAACTGAAAACGAAGGTGGCAGAAGAGGCAGGGAGGAGGAGCACGATAGACCTCATTTTCTGTTTTCTACTCTAGGAACTCTGCAAATTGCTCTGGCAGCATTTTATCTGTTTTTCCTGTTCTTATTAAATTAAGAACTCTACACAGCTAATCAAGTGAGAGATAAGTAAATAATACAAATGCATGGAACAGTGATTACCATTTTAAAGACCCATCAACATGCCTCAAAAACAAGTATGGTACAGTTTTAAACAACTTACATTAAAATTTTAATCTAAAATATTTATATAGGTTTCAAATGAATAGAAAAATACTACCTTCAATGTATATAAAAATAGCCATTTTTTATTCATTTCTGAAATATATTCATGCAACTATATTATTAGAGTTAGTAAGTTTTAAAAATAAGGCAGATAGTAGATTCAGAAAGCCAAAAGGATCAAAGTTAGTGTGCTGGACAGCTTTAGTGTCAACTTCACAAACCCGGGTTGAGGGAGCCTCAACTGGGGAATTGCCTCCATTGGGTTGGCCT